AGTCTCCTGGTGATTGGCCCAAAGTCACCCAGCCAGTTTTCATGCCTGAGGCGGAACTAGAATTCATGATCTCCTGGTTTCTAACCCATCACTGGACTTAATCACTGGAGCAAACTGTCTGTCTGTATAAACTGACCCTGAGGTCATTGGGTATATGCTAGTAAAATTAAAATTAAAAAAAATAGAAAAGTAGGAAGACACTTGCTCGCTGGAGTAATAATTGACTAAGTTTCACTCAGAAGTTCTCAGTTTTGCTTTCCCTGAACATTGAAAAGCTCCTTCCAGGGAAGGGCTCTGAAGCCTGAAGTGTTTAATATCCCCCGGGCTCCCTTTAAGCTCCTCGGAAAGAGAAAGTTTCTGCAGAATCATCTTCGTTTCTTTAGAAAGGGAGTAGCAGCATCAGTTGGATTGTTTAATTTCTGCTGTGATGATTTCCAGAGGCTGATTTTGCCTGGTTGGTTAAAGAGGGTTGAGGAAGGGACCTTAACAGTTACAGTGGATTGAAACAGGACAAAAAGAAGGGGAAAAAAACCCCTACCTGTTCTTACAGAAGGAGCTGCCAAACTGAGTGTCCCCCACACATTTTTTCCCTTGAATGTAGAAATAGCAAAGGAAGTACATAGAGATATGTACAAATAGCAAAGGAACAAAGGCAGAGGTGGTATTCAGCCAGTTCTGGAGAACCGGTAGCAGAAATTTTGAGTAGTTTGGAGAACCGGCAAATACAACCTCTGACTGAAGATTTTATAGTATCCTTCCCCTGCCATGTCCACCAATCGATGCCCATAGAATTGGTAGTAAAAAAAAAAAGTGGAATCCTACCACTGAGCAAAGGGCATATGAAGAATGGTTGCAGGAACTGGGTATGTCTAGTTTAATGACAAGAAGGACTAGGGGAGACATGATAGCAATCTTCCAATATCTCAGGGGCTGCCCCAGGGGTGGGATTCATTTTTTTTAACAACTGGTTCTGTGGGCGTGGCTTAGTTGGTGGGCGTGGCTTGGTGGTAATGTGACTGGCTGGGTGTGGCCAAATCTACATCACTCACATCGAGGCACGCATCTCCTTGCCTGGCCTCTCATGACTGTAGGGATGCTGCAACAGTCGTAAGTGTGAAAAGGGGTCATAAGTCACTTTTTTCAATGCCGTTGTAACTTTGAATGGTCACTCCACACAAACAAAGTACCAGCAAAGGAGGGGGGAAAAACTCCAGAGATGTTCCTGAGACAGTAAGTCTAGTTCTGCCAAGAATGTAATAAGGGTTAACGGAGAGGCAGCTTCTGTAAGCAACACCAGAATGTTTCCTTCCTGCCTTCCTTACAGGATTAGGCCAGTAATTTCTTTGAACAACCAGTTCTCTGAACTGCTTAGAATGTTAACAACCAGTTGTAGCGAATAGGTGTGAACCTGTAGAATCCCACCCCTGGGCTGCCCCAAAGAAGAGGGAATCAAGCTATTCTCCAAAGCATCTGAAGGTAGGACAAGAAGCAATGGGTGGAAACAAATCAAGGAGAGAAGCAACCGAAAACTAAGGAGAAATTTCCTGACAGTGAGAACAATTAACCAGTGGAACAACTTGCCTCCAGAAGTTGTGAATGCTCCAACACTTGGAAGTTTTTAAAAATATGTTGTATAACCATTTGTCTGAAGTGGTGTAGGGTTTCCTGCCTAGGCATGGGGTTGGACTAGAAGACCTCCAAGGTCCCTTCCAACTCTGTTATTCTAGATACTCCTGGGGGAAACCTCCATTATGCTCTATACCAGGGGGGTCCAACCTTGGCAACTTTAAGACTTGTGGACTTCAACTCCCAGAATTCCTCAGCTAACATGACTGGAGGAGGGATTCTGGGAGTTGGAGTCCACAAGTCTTAAAGCTGTCAAGTTTGAAGTCCCCCGTTCTGCACAAGCAAAGGCTTGTAGATCCTTGTGGTTTCTCAGGAGAGTTCCAATGGAATCTCAGCTTCCGCCCGCTCCTTTTTGTTGGAAGAACGAGCTTCCAGTGATCAACTTGAGGTCAATGCCAGTGGGTCAATCCTGGCTGCCTTTTCATAGAAGGGACAGAGGGGATGTTTGTCTGAAAGGGCAATTTGCTGAGTTGCTGATGCTCGCTAAGGAAATTCCCTTAAGGACGTGCCCTTCTTTCTTCCAGATACTCTCCACATCCAGCCCACGGTGCTGCCAGCTGTTCACCTCAGTTACAAGGAGAACGTGCATCTCGACTGGGATGGGTTGGGGACCCTTGTAATGAAGGTATGATTGGCTTTCCCTTTTCCTCCTCACATTTTCATTTTTTTTTTTTAAAGAAGAAAAGCTGTTGGAAAATCTGACCGTTGTCCAACGCTTGGCATTTAAACACTGCATTCATGCTGCGAAACTGTTTATTTCCCAAATATTTCTCTGTAAGAGAATGTCTCAGACTTGAGAGCACATCTTTGGGGCCTTTGGCTGGGATGAAGTTGAGTCATTTCTCTGGAACTTTCTTGGACTAGAGAGAGGATGCAATTAGTTGACAGGATAACCCTGAATACACAAGGGCAATGTCTGTCTCTCTCTCTCTCTCTTTCTCTCTCTCCGTCTCTCTCTGTGTGTAGCTGGCACATTGGGTTTTTTAAAATACTTTATTGAAATTCAAAATATTAAAAAGTTTACAGAAATTCAAAAGATTAAAAAAATTACAAAAATGTCTATAATAGAAGATGTGTCAATAGCTTTCAGCATAATTTTTTGAAAATATTATAAATACAATACATACAATTAATACTTGACAGTTATTCATAGTATTGGTATACTAATTCACAGTGTCTTAATAATATTGATAAAAAGTGCTTCATGTATATAGATCGTTGGTTCAAAAGAGAAAAGTGTCATATTAACACTAAGTACATATATGTATCCAAAAAGAGAAAAATCAGAGATAAATCTATATAATTATAGTCTATGTACTGTGCTCTCGATTCCATAGCCATAAGAGAAGATACGTTATATATTTTTCAGTATACAATATAAGTATAACTACATATGTATTATAAATTAAATATGAATATTTGCATAGATCTCCATTTTTTGGCAGTTTCTCGATTTCAACAGTTTCTCATTGGTCCTACCTATATACTAATATGCCAATTTTATTTCCTCTTTTAATCTATATTTTTCATGTTTTACTGGCCAATTGTTCTCACTATCATGAAATTTCTCCTTCTTTCTAGGTTGTTTTTCCTCTTTGATTGGTTTCCATCTATTGTTTCCTGTCCTCTTTGCTTTGGAGAATAGATTGAACCCCTCTTCTTTGGGACAGCTCCTCAAATATTGCAACATTGCTATCATCTCTGATGGTTACTATCATCTCTTCCCTTCATTAGATTAGATATGCCCAGTTCCTGCAACCATTCATCATATGTTTTAGCCTCCAGACCCCTAATTATCTCGGTCGCTCTTCTCTGCACTCTTTCCAGGGTCTCTACATCTTTTTTTATAATGTGGTGACCAAAATTGGATTCAATGATCTTATCAAGGTATTATAAAGAAGAACTAACACTTCACGTGATCTTGATATGATCACTCTGTTGATGTAGTCTAGGCACTGCATTGGCTTTTTTATGTATGAATAAGATGAAAAAATCATACTTTTCGTTGTAAAAAGAAACGGCCTTGTTTTGTACTGTTTTGTTTATTATTGAAGACAAAAGTTCTTTGGGTACAACCCAATTTTGTGTTAATCCTCCCCTCCCATGGAGACAGGAAACAAACAAATTTATTTGAAAGGTGGGACTGCATGGAATAAGATCATGTTGACTGAACTGCCTTTTTTCTCATCTACAGCCATAAATTGGATGCATAAAACAAGTTCCTATGCTGAAATATCTCAAGAGCTGGGAATGTGTCAAATGTTTTATTTCTTTGATTGAAAAGACGAAGACTCACTGTTGAGTATGTTCATGAAACCATTTACGTAGTTTTGGGGTTTTTTGGCAATGCCACCAAAGTGCTTTCTTGTACCATTCCTAGATTTTTTTTTGCTGGTTTTTGAACCAAGGACTAATGAAATGTCTGAAATGGCTTAATTTTTATATCTGGACAAGATTAACCAGTAGAATCCCTGAGAAAAACATGGAAGTGCTGGTAGAGAAATGTTAGTATGATGTACGGAAGCTCAATAAATTGATCACACCTTGCCTTATGTTTGGGCAACTCCAGGAAGTTTGATTAGCTGTAGTATATTATATAAACATTAGAAAGTTGGGTTTAGAATTTCTTATGCCATAGTGAATAGTTTCACATGGACAGTATTTCTGACTCTGCAAACATTATTTTCAGTTGCTGTAGAAAGCATGGGATTGTGGATGAGGAATAAGGTAAAAGAATAACTGGCAAGATGGTGTAATGCTGTATTATATTATATGCACTTATAAAACAATAACAGAGTTGGAAGGGACCCTGGGGGTCTTCTTGTCCAACCCCTTGCACAAGCAGGAAACTTATACCATTTCAGACAAATGCTTGACCAATCTCTTCTTAAAACCTCCAGCGTTGGAGCATTCACAACTTCTGGAGGCAAGTTGTTCCACTGATTGATTGTTCTGACTATCAGGAAATTTCTCCTTAGTTCCAGGTTGCTTCTCTCCTTGATTAGTTTCCATCCATTGCTTCTTGACCTGCCTTCTTGTGCTTTGGACAAGGTTGACCTCCTTTCTTCTTGAGGGCACCTCTATCAGATATTGGAAGACTGCTCTCATGTCACCCCTAGTCCTTCTTTTCATTAAACTAGACATACCCAGTTCCTGCAACTGCTCTTTGTAAGACATATACTCCTATAAGGTGCATAATTATAACTTTAAATAAAAGCAACACATTTTTTCCTGCAAGAAAACAATCCAGTGAATGAGTTCTAACAATTCATCATAAAAGACTTACCCGGGACACAAGACTTGGAGAATCTCAAGCAAAGTATTTTTAGCATTTCTCAAACTTCATCAGCCAGCTGCTTTCCCTGAAGTATATCATGCATAGCTATTGCTGCATGTAGATTTGTCCCTTTAAAGAAAACCAAATAATATTGAAATTCTACACTGCTCCCTTTTTTCCCTATCTCTCCTCTTCTTATATTTTCTTTTCATGAAATTACGAGCAAAACATTCTTAAGAATGAAGGCAAATATAAAATATTCTTGTTTATGTCATTTCCTGCTCCAGCCAGTGGAATTTGCTCTTAAAGATCAATTTTGTGTTCCTTGATTTTGTTATTAAATTAAAATAGAATGTTTAGTTTAATTCTTTTTACCTTGATCGGGGACTTGCGAGGACTCCATTTAAAAATCAAGGGAGGATTTCCTCAGATTCAAATCGCCGTCAGCCATCCAACCCAAAGACAAGTTACAGAATCAGAAACAAATTGGCCAAATCGGGAAAGATCTGTACTATGTTTGGTCCATTTTTTTCAGAGCTAAATAAATAATTTGAAGTTTAGGAGGAAGCGAGGGCAAAACATAGAGGTGCATCAAAACCCTTGCAATTCATGATTTACTAATTGGAAGATTTGTGATCATTTCCCCCAAATAATAGACTGTTTGCAGGTGTTGGGTTTAAACTGGCCTGTCAGGAGTAAACCTTACGCTCTCTTCTTGAGAAAAGTCAAACCCAGATCCAGAAAAAACTCTATACAGGTAGCCACTGGTGGGATTCAAATTATTTTACTACCGGTTCTGTGGCCGTGGCTTGGTGGGCGTGGCAGAGGAAGGTTACTGCAAAATCCCCATTCCCTCCCCACCCCACTAGCCTGCTTTCCAGCTCTGTTCTCCTGTGCAAGGCAACCAAAGAAGACCCAGCCGATCAGCTGGGACTCAGTGGGAGGCAGAGAATAGATGGGGGTGGGGCCAGTCAGAGGTGGGATTTGCTGGTTCTCCGAACCACTCCAAATTTCTGCTACCGGTTCTCCAGAACTGGTCAGAACCTGCTGAAGACCACCTCTGCAGGTAGCCCTCAACTTATGACAATTCATTCAGCAACTGTTCAAAGTTATGATGGTCCTGAAAAAAAGTGACTTAAGATCTTCTCACTTGTGACTGATACAGCATCCCTAGGGTCATGTGATCAAAATTGGGGCTTTGGCAATTGGCTTGTATTTCACTTAACAATAGTCTCATTTAGCAGCAGAAATTTTGGGCTTGATTGTAGTCCTAAGTCAAGGACTACCTGTCCCAAAGGTGCTCTTTCAAGAGGCAACTGGACTTTCTGGTTTTTTTTTGAAGATGTTTCGCTTCTCATCCAAGAATCTTCTTCAGCTCTGACTGGATGGTGGAGAATAGAAGGATTTATACTTCTTGCAGACAGCTGAAGACAAAATTCAGCAGTCCATCTGCATTTAAAAGACAAAAGGTCACTCTTTTGAAGGCAGCAAAATCCACATTTTGGACAGAGGGGGCCTCTTGTTTGAAAGAGGAGTCAAAGAGGCCATCTAGGTCAAAACTGAACAGCCCTCTCTCCACAGAGGAGGAGGGATACAACATCATCTACCACCAATCTACAACACAGTCCTTTCAATAGTTCCAAGAAGGCTCCACACCCATTTTTCTACTCAGGTGACTCTATTTGCACTACTCAGGTGACCCTGAGGACACAGATAACCTCCAGGTGGCCTCAAGGATTCTCTAAAAAGAATGCAAATGACCAGCTGTCTGCAAGGAGTATCCATCCTTTCATTCCCCCACCATCCAGTCAGAGCTGAAGAAGCTTCTTGGATGGGAAACTAAATGTCTGCCAAGAAAAACAAGGAAGTCCAGTTGCCTCTTTAAAAACAAAAGCACCTTTGGAATAACTATGACCTGGATGACTGAGAATATCCATAGACATCAAGAACTAGCTGTATTTCCAATTCACCTTCTAATTTTCCCCTATTTTCTTTTTCAAACATTTCTGTTCCTTAAACATCAGTAGTTTGTTGCCCTGGAGCATTAAAAATAATTTAGAACCCACGTACAAGAGGAGGTAGTTCCCAATATTCTGGACAATTGTGGGAAGTGAGTCATTCCCAATGAACGCAACAGACGTTTTATGATAAATGTTGCATAACGTGAGTTTCCTGCTACATTCCTAAACAATGGCATATTTTCCCTCCATGGCCTTTTAAACTTTAAATAGTCAAACACCATTTTCAACAAATACACCGAAATGGCAATTTTTAAAAAATATTTTAAAATATAGAAGTTTCTAAAAATCTCAGAAATCCTTTATTTTGCCCTGTTGCATCATCATTTAATAGGCCTTGTCTCTCTTTTCTCACAGCTGGTAACTGCAATATACAGGCTTTTAGTGCTAATATAAAAATATTAACTACCTTGTAGAAATTTTTTTTGAAAGTCTACATTTGGCCAGAATGGCTGCAGTCCATACTTATGCACTTTTGTCTGCTTAGAGGTCAATTTGTCTAAATTGAGCAGACTGCTTACAGATAAAATAACATATAAGCCTAAAGGAATGAACCAAATAGTGCGGTCCTTTGTATGTTTCCTCAGCAGTGAGACCATTGAGTTCAATGGGAGTGGTACAACAACAACAACAACAACAACAACAACAACAACAATAATAATAACAACAACAACAACAATAATAATAATAATAATAATTATTATTGTTGTTGTTGTTGTTATTATTATTATTATTGTTATTATTATTATTATATTATTATTAATAATAATAATTATTATTATTATTATTATTATTATTATTATTATTGTTGTTGTTGTTGTTGTTGTTGTTATTATTATTATTATTATTATTATTATTATTATTATTATTCACTGGAAACTATGCCAAAAGTTTGGATTTGAGTATGGTAACAACTACTGGGAACATCAGGTTGAGAAGGTTCTGGAAAATGAAAAAGCCAAGATCTTGTGGGACTTCAGAATTCAGACAGACAGGCATTTGGCCCACAACACACCTGACATAGCAATAGTTGAGAAGAAAAGGGTTGGTTCATTGACATTGCAATACCTGGTGATGCACGAATTGTAGACACGCAGCAAGAAAAAAATCACAAAATATTAGTACTTACAAATTGAAGTTGAGCGACTTTGGAAAAAGAAATTGTGTGTTATCTCAATAGTAATTGGAGCCCTTGGAGCAATACCTAAAGGGCTGCCTCGCTATTTGGAAATTCTGAATTGATCAGACTTGAATACTCTGATTCTACAAAACACCACCCTACTTGGAACAGCTTATATCCTCCGACGCTACCTGAACAGTTCCTAGGTCCTTGGTTAGGACTCGAGATGTTGAGCTACCAACCAGCCCCAAAGACTGTGAATCTCACCAAAGATTTAATGATGATGATGATGATCGTGATGATCGTGATGGTGATGATGATGATGATATTTGTGATCCCTTTTTAAATGTTCAGTTGACTGAGTTTCATGTTTAATGAATAAAAGTTTATAATAATAACAGAGTTGGAAGGGTCCTTGAAGGTCTTCTAGCCCAACCCTCTGCTTGGGCAGGAAACCCTACACCACTTCAGACAAAACATCCAGTGTTGGAGAATTCACAACTTCTAGTGGCAAGTTGTTCCACTGGTGAATTGCTCTAACTGTCAGGGAATTTTTCCTTGTTTCTAAGTTGCTTCTCTCCTTGATTAGTTTCCACCCATTGCTTCTTGCCCTGCCCTCTGGTGCTTTAGAGAATAGTTTGACTCCCTCTTCTTTGGGGCAGCCCCTGAGATATTGGAAGACTGCTATCATGTAACCCCTAATCCTTCTTTGCATTAGACTAGACATATCCTGTTCCAGCAACCCGTTCTATAAATGTTATAGGTTGGTCAACAGTTGAGGGCAAAATATGAATCCTTCCATAAGTTTTTTTTTAAATTGTGTTTACCCTAAAAGAATATGACCCTGAATTTATGATACCCCTCCTGCCACTGTGGCATCAGCAGACAGGAAAAATTTGTGTTTCATATTCATATCTATCATATTTTCAACTTTAGGAGTAAGTAATGCGATGGTATGTGTAGTTTTGGCTTTCAAACAATGCAATAATACTGCTTGTTGGGTCCAAGCAATAGAATAGAAGAATGATCGGGGAGGAACACGAGGGAAGGTTGTCGAATGTACAACTAACCACGGTAAGACTTCTTTGTGGTGTTGTTTGTGCTTCACAGTGGTCTTCTCGCTCTCCCCTCTCACCAAAACAATCACTGTTTTAGGTAGCTGTAGAAAATTCACTTTTTCTTCCAGGACCCTGGAAAGTAAGGTGACCTTTAGGGAGGACAGTCCTCCTTTTGTAAGTTCTGTCCTCTCTCAAAAAGTGTCCTCCTACACGTCCTCCTTTTTGATATTTGAAGACTAATCTGTAAATCTCCGTATTTGATTGATGCCGAGCCAATCCGCTGTGTGTGATGTGACATATTTGTATTTGACATGACGATTCATCAAGGCTCGGTACAGTGCGGTGAGACGCGATTATGAGACGCATGCGCTCCACACAGGAGAATTGTTTTGAGAGAGTGCGCAGCGCGCAAGTGGCTTTTTTTTTTCCCTTTCAATTTATTTGTGTCCTCCTTTTCATTGTAAAAATGTTGGTCACCTTACTGGAAAGGAAAGGAATGTTTTTCCTTTCCCCCCTCCCGCCAGAAGCCAAAATTAATCATTACTGTGTTCAATGTCCTTTTATTATGGAATATGCACAGGGGTGGGCTTGAAAATTTTTAGCAATGGGTTCTCTGCCCGGTTGCTGGGTGGGTGTGGCCATGGTGGGCGTGGCTTAGTCTGCCTCCTGCAAAACAGTGGTGGTGGGGGGTTGCCAGAGGCTTTTCTCGAGCCTCCGGGTGGTGAAAACGGCCTCCTCAGGCTCCGGAGGCTCTCTGGAAGCCAGAAACGGGCCCATTTCCAGCCTTCCCAAAGTTCCAGGAGGCCCATTTTTCATCCTCCCCAAGCCTACATGTACGTCCTGCACTTAACTGCACCCAAAACAGGCCGCGTGGGGACTCCTGGGAGGGGAGGGGAGGAGTGGGCAGGGCCAGCCAGGAGTGGGATTTGGGGGGTTCTCCAAACTGCACAGAATCTTAGCTAGGGGCTCTCCTGAACCCCTGCGAACCCCCAGCCGCCCGCTATCCCTGAATATGCATCTGTTTTATTGTGAGCCTCTTAAGCAGGGGTCTTCAAACTTGACAGCTTTAAGATTTGTGGACTTCAACTCCCAGAATTCCTCCTCCACTCATGTTAGCTCAGGAATTCTGGGAGTTGAAGCCCACAAAGTCAAAGTTGCCAAGTTTGGAGACCTCTGTCCTATAGATTTCATTATATTGACTAAAAGTCTACAGTACCTCATCGAGCCACCAGGGGCACTATTTATTTTACATTACATTATACCAGGGGTCTTCAAACTTGATAGCTTGAAGACTTGTGGACTTCATCTCCCAGAATTCCTCCTCCAGTCATGTTAGCTCAGGAATTCTGGGAGTTGAAGTGTACACATCTTAAAGTGGCCAAGTTTGAAGATCCTTGCTCTTACGAGATGTTTTGATGCAAGAAGCAGTCTTACTTCGAAACAAGGACTACCAGTACAGGTAGTCCTCGACATACAACAGTTCATTTAGTGACGGTTCGAAGTTAACACCGGCACTTAGTGAACAAGTGACTTAGGACTGTTTTATGCACTTATGACCATCACAGCATCCCCAAGGTCACGTAATCAAAATTTGGATGCTTGGCAACTGACTCATGACGGTTGCAAGTCACGTGATCCCCTTCTGTGAATTTCTGAGAAAGAAAGTCAACAGAGAAGCCAGATTCACTTAACAACCGGGTTACTAACTTAACACCGGCAGGGATTCTCTTAACAATGATGGCAAGAAAGGTCATAAAACGGGGCAAAACTCACTTAACAACTGACTCACTTAGCAACAGAAATGTTGGGTTCAGTTATGGATGTAAATCGAGGCTTACCTGTACATCAAATAAATGTGATTATTAACTCCAGGCATGTTTAATGGATGTTTCCACTTGTGTATGCTATTTTATTTTCGTTAGTTTTCCAGTTGTGTATGCTATTTTTGTTGTTGTTGTTTCTCAACCTCCTGCAAGAAAAATAAGCTATATATTTTTGTTCTTTGTCTAGTTATCTTCAGAATACACTGAACAAATGTGTGGTCTGTGCGGCAACTACAATGGCAACCAAGGAGATGATTTCCTCACCCCTTCTGGGCTGGTGGAAACCCTCGTGGAGGACTTCGGAAATTCTTGGAAGCTGAAGGGAGACTGTGAAGATTTGCAAAAACAAGACAGCAATTCCTGTAACTTGAATCCCCGTTTAGGTAGGTGCAGGGGTGGGATTCAACCAGTGTAACAAACAGTTCGGTGAGCGTGTACACACAGTGTTTGAAAACTGCCCAGTTTCAGCCCTAATATTTACCTTCTACTGCAGCCCCAGTGAGTAAAACAGCTAAGGCATGGCAATCGGCTGTGCCTCTTGAATCAGCTGAGCTGCAAAATACAGAAATAAAGGACAGACTAGGGCAGGGGCAGGTGGGCAGGGCCAAATGATCACTGGAACTACCGGTTCGCCTGAACTGGTCCAAACCGGTGGAATCCCACCCCTAGGTAGGTGTGTGTCATGCCGCTGTTGGAGTCTGAATCCGAGGAGGAAGACAAACAGCTGACAGGGAGGGGGAGTGTGGCTTCGTTGGCTGTGGAGGAAACTGGGGAAGGGCAAAGTCTGGCTGGGCAGAGCAGGGAAGAGGTAGAACAAGGGAGAGGGAGTTCAGAGGAAGACCCAGGCCTCTTCATCCCAGGGCACGCAGAGAGGAATGGAGAAGAGAACAATGTTGGTTGTATGGCTTACGGGGGAGGAAAGGGCCCTGATTCTTTTCATTAGCCACACCTGGGAATGAGAGTTTAAAAGAGATGCAAGCTTAGTGCGGCAGCTGCTGGGATCAAATATGACTTTACCTTGCGTTGACTGTGGTTATCTGTGTTCCTAGTGTCTTCCCAACCGTGTTGAGTTATTGCTGTGCCTTCACATCTGGAATTCTTGCTCCTGGCCTGCCGAACTAATTATCTAATCTTGCCTTGATTGGACTTATAGTTACAGTTTTTGTTGATCATGTTTTGGTCTTGATTCTCTGCAGCCAAAGGCTGTTCCTGGGAGAGTTTTGCTCCAGCCCAGAAAGTAACCATGACATTGGGGGCAAAGTTGGAGCTAATAAAGGGATTCCTACGGATTATCTGACTGTGTTGCCTTTGTGCCACGGCCCGGGTCATCAGAGTGTGCTTACACCAGAGCCCTTGTGGGCTGTGATAATAAAAAATATCACTGTGTTATTTTAATCCAGGAAAAACTTTTGTCCACATTAAAGGCAGACACAGTTCTCTTAAGGAAGCTTTTAGGGACAAGAGTCCACTCCCTTCTACGCATTAAATCAGGGTTCTGGTTTTGCGCTGGGTTTTAGCTTTTAGCAAAGTTAGGACATAATTAAATGCATAAGGAATAATATCCAATGCCTTGCTTTGAAATGAGTTTTATTATTCTCTTTGGCCCTTCCTTTTTTTTTTCTGGCTGTGCCCACCTTAGGAATGTTGCTTTGGCAGGCTTACCCAAGGCTACATACACAGCAAAAAGATGAAAGGATATTCCTTTCCTCTCCCCAATGTGCACAGTTAAAAACACTTAGCAAGAGACTTCCTGATTCTGTTTCTCTGCCTGCAATTATCTGGCCCGTCGCAGGAAGGTACATAGGTAAAGAAGGGTCCCTGTGCCAGGTGGCTTCCTTTTTTGGACAGTTAAATACTCAGCATTGAAAGATGTAGTAGGAAGCCAAGAGAGATGTCAGCAGGGAATATGGGAGTGAGTCCCTCTCTAGCAAATGGAGGTGGTGAGGAGTTGCAGAGCAAGTGAATAGCAAGAGCCCTTAGACTCATATACCGCTTTATAGTGCTTTACAGCCCTCTCTAAGCGGTTTACAAAGTCAGCATATTGCCCCCCAACAATTTGGTCCTCATTTTACCCACCTGGGAAGGATGGAAGGCTGAGTCAACCCTAAACCTGGTGAGATTTGAACTGCCAAATTTGTTCTGATCCAAACCTTGTTCCAAGGAAACAAACACAAAACGGAGGTAACAGCAAAACCTTTTAATGATCCTTTACGAATTCCGTTCCAACATGGTTAAAAGGCTGTTTCAAACTAATTGTCTCTGATAAGAACGAGCCTTGCCAAGGTTGTGCAAGGCTGCCAAGAACCCTAGACAAAGAGTCTCCAAACACAAACTAAGAGAGTCTGAACATCCACAAGGCTTGAGTGCAACAACTTCTTTGCTTCCTGCAAAGAACTTCAGTCTCTCAGCTAGCTTTTATCTCTTAGGGGAGGAGCCATTACCTTGCAGCTTTACTCCTGAGTCGCCTGTGCTGCTGCAGCTGCTCTTTCCTTCGAGCAGCCCTGTGCGCACACGCACTGGGCACAGGCTCCTCGGGGACCTCTTCATCACTGCTGCCAGACTCCACAATCTCTGAAGGCAGCACTCCACTCCCTGATGGTCCTGACCCCATCCCTGCATCACACGCAGGCCCCTCATCTGAGTCCTTGCTATCCAAGACCTCAGCCATCTGCACCTGCTGCCGGTGGACCACAACAAAATTGTACGCAAAAGTAGCCTGCAGTACTGCACTCTAACCACTGCACCACCGTGGCTCATAATTGCAATAGCAGTTAGACTTATATACCTCTTTACAGTGCTTTACAGCCCCCTCTAAACGGTTTACAGAATCAGCCTCTTGCCCCCAACAATTTGGTTGTTTGTGCTGATCAAAGGGTCAACAGGTAGTCCTCGACTTACAACAGTTCCTTTAGTGACTGTTTGAAGATTACAACGGCGCTGAAAAACCTGACTTGCGACTGTTTTTCACACTTAGGGACCGTTGCAGCATCCCCAGGGTCATGCGATTTATATTGGGATGCTTGACAACCAACTCACATTTATGACAGTTGCAGTGACATGATCCCCCTTTGCAACCTTCTGACGAGCAACCAGATTCACTTAACAACCGTGTTATTAATTTAAGAATTGCAGCGGCTCACTTAACCATCATGGCCAGAAAAGTTCATAAAATGGGGTAAAACTTTGCTTAACAAATTTCTCACTTGGCAACATCAATGTTGGGCTCCATAAGTTGTGGTCGTAAGTCAAGGACTACCCCCAAGCCCTCCACACCCAAACAGAACATTATTGTGACGATTTGCCATTCATTCTTCTCTTCTGGTCCTCGGTTGAACCTGTTTCCCTTGCAGCCCGGTATGCTGAGAGATCCTGCTCGCTCCTGCTGTCACCCCTGTTCGAGCCTTGCCACCATGAGGTCAGCCCTTCCCCCTACCTCAAGAACTGCCGCTATGACGTCTGCTCCTGTTCGGATGGGAAAGACTGCTTGTGCATGGCGGTCTCGGCCTACGCCATGGCTTGCGCCCGGAAAGGAGTGGTCATCAACTGGAGGAAGCCAGAATTTTGTGGTAAGTGGCTCTTCTTGCCCAAACTTGCACTCCCTAAACTCAGGTCTGTGTCTGTGTTACTATGTACACTGAGAGCCTATGCACTGAAGACAAATTCCTTGTGTGTCCAATCACACTTGGCCAATAAAAAAATCTATTCTATTCTATTCTATTCTATTCTATTCTATTCTATTCTATTC